TGTAACCAAGTGACATTCTTTACCAGCTACAGTTGTTTATTAACGATGTAACCAAGTGACATTCTTTACCAGCTACAGTTGTTTATTAACGATGTAACCAAGTGACATTCTTTACCAACTACAGTTGTTTATTAACGATGTAACCAGATGACATTCATTACCAACTACAGTTGTTTATTAACGATGTAACGAAGTGACATTCTTTACCAGCTACAGTTGTTTATTAACGATGTAACCAGGTGACATTCTTTACCAGCTACAGTTGTTTATTAACGATGTAACCAGGTGACCGCTGGTAAAGAATAATAAACAACTGTACTTGGTTACATCGTTTGACATTCTTTACCAGGAATAAACAACTGTAGCGTAGAGTGGACATCAATCTGAAACTAGAATTTGGGACACCATGATGCTGCTGAGATTGGGACCATCCTGGAGAAAAACACAATCTATCATTAGAGATGCGTAGAGTGGACATCAATCTGAAACTAGAATTTGGGACACCATGATGCTGCTGAGATTGGGACCAACCTGAAAAAAAAACATCACTAGAGGTGATCAGTGTGAACTGTAGCCGAGAGTTAGATTTTAGGACACCATGGTGCTACTGGGACCGGTTTCATCCTGGGAAAAAAAAAAGAAACCCTCAGGAAATACGACCAGTGTGGACACCAAATTGGAACTTGACTTTGAGACACCGTGATGCTGCTGAGATTGGGACCATCCTGGAGAAAATCACAACCTATTATTAGAGCTGTCCAGAATGGACACCTGTCTGGAACTAAGATTTGGGAAACCACAATACTGCTGAGATCGTATTCATCCTGAATAAAAGCAGAACCTACCAATAAAAATTAGCAGTGTGGACATTAGTCTTGAACTGAACTTCGGGATTCAATAGCCCCTGTAACACGACCTTTAACTGTAAGAAGATAAAAACATTCTTTTGTTCATAACATAACCTTTCTTGCCCGGATTCCTAAAACTGTTTACAATCAATGTCTATCAAAGTTTATTTAAAATTTAAAGTTTGTTCATAATGATAAGAAGAAATCAGATCAGATCAAAAGATGGTGATTTTGTTTTAGCGAAAAGCTACATCATCTTTTTTTCACTGAAATTCACATTTTGGTATTTTGGCGAAGAAAAGAAATGAAAAACTACACAAATTCATGTCGTTGTTCTCTTTTTTTCCCTTCCTTCCTGTCACTTTCTCCAGGGTTCTCCATCAAATATTATTCTGGCTATAATTCTTTGATTTTTAAAAAATGATCAGAAAAAGAAAAGTCGAGAAATTGGCATACAGCCTCTACTGTAATTAAAAAGGTAAAATGTCTACATCAAACTACTAACAATATTACTGTCCTATTCGAGTTCATCAAACTAACTACTAACAATATTACTGTCCTATTCGAGTTCATCAAACTAACTACTAACAATATTACTGTCTTATTCGCGTTCATCAAACTCACTACTAACAATATTACTGTCCTATTAGAGTTCATCAAACTAACTACTAACAATATTACTGTCCTATTCGAGTTCATCAAACTAACTACTAACAATATTACTGTCTTATTCGAGTTCATCAAACTCACTACTAACAATATTACTGTCCTATTCGAGTTCATCAAACTCACTACTAACAATATTACTGTCCTATTCGAGTTCATCAAACTCACTACTAACAATATTACTGTCCTATTCGCGTTCATCAAACTCACTACTAACAATATTACTGTCTTATTCGAGTTTCGGAAGTCCTTAACAGGAAGTAGTGACTTTAAATATTTTTGGTTTGTTATTTAAAAATATAAACGCCTAAATTTAATTACTTACCGACTGGGGTGTTAAATCCATTTTCGTAAACCGCCGGTAGGAGTCGCAAGAATGGAGTTAGTGAAGAACCCCAAGTAGAATGTTGTAAGTTATTACAACTTCCGTCGAATGTGCGGTATTTCCTGTGGAAACACATGTTCGAGCAAGAGGGAGATTGTCTGTGGGCTTGGCAACCAGAAAGATTAGTTAGTAGCTCCATCTGGTGAGGGGACAAGATTTCAGAGTAACGAAATTCTGTAAAAAAATAGAAGGTATTTTCACAATTTTAAACCAATATTTATAAATAAGAACTTACAGAATCTCAAAGACTTGATAACAAACTGTAAGTGTTCTACACTTAACTGTTCCAAAGATCAAACAGCAAAAACTTAGCGGTATAGGCTTAGGCGTTTCAAAGCCATGATAGCGAAAAGTAACAGTTTTAGGCTTAACAGTACCACCGACTTGATGGGAAAAACTAATTGTTCAGCTTAGCTCTTCCAAAATCTTGATAGTAAAAGAAATTTGGGGATACATCCTGTGTTTACCTGTCAAGTTTAACTTTACACCGGCTTCCACTCGCCCCCTAACGTTGAGCAAAGCCTTCTCATAAATCTCAGCAGCTTTGGCAAGATCTCTTGCCTCTGGTGATGGAAAACGGAAAACCTGTAGCAAATGGTTTGGTGTACGGTTTCGGTCCCTACTAAACAGATAATGAAGAGTGTGATTTACTGCTTCTTCTACAGCTCTCCTGGCGTTTTCAACAGCTGGAACTACATACCTGTCCCCAGGATACGTCGTGTAGGGAGCGGCTGAAAAGTCATAAAAATTGTCATTTCTCAGTCTACCAACATCTGAATTTCAACATTGCCATGTCTAGTACTGGAAGCTAACCTAAGTAATTAAAACTGCCAAATGATGGCGAATTATACATGTTTATAGATAAACAACTCTCTGGGTTTACGTTTGGATACACAGTAAATTTCAAAGAGTTGAGAGGCTTTAAAATAAATATTATTTCTTCATGTTGTTTTAGTAGAAATTTAGGCACGGTAGACATAGTTTTCATGTGGCGACATCGTGTGGCTAAGTTTGTAAACTTTAATGGAATGCAACTGTTGAAAAAAAAGGAGATGACGTTTCGGGTTCTGTAATGAGGCCTTTTTTAAGTCACCTCAGTATAGAAGCCGAAACGTCGTCTCTTTGTCTTTCAACAGGTAGTTGGAGACCATAAAACTTTTCAAATCTTTTCTTAATGGTGATAAAATTTCCACGAAAATGCCCCAATGAATAAACAGCAAAATGTTATTACCACCTACAAATTTCAAAATGGCTAAAACTGAAAACAATGGGAAAAAAGTAATATGGAATTACCATATATTGCCCCTAAAGTATTGCCCCGCCCGGTATTTACATTTTTATAAAGCTTACCTTGTGTGACAGCAATAGTAATCCAAAATATAACCCACTTTCATTGGCGTAATTTTGATTTGAAAAAAAAAAAGAAGAAGAAAAACACACACTTATTAGCATTGAAATCAACAAATCACATGTGAAAAAATTAGCGTACCCCCCCCCCCCCTATCCCTTTTGCAGTTTTCAACGCCTCCGGTGGCGTTAAGGGCAATACGGTAAGGGATGAAGAAAGAGCAAGTAATTTTTGGTATGATAAAATCTCAAAATATATAGTTTAAAAACTTGGTGTTTCAAAGAATACGATTTAAAAATGTCTCATACTAAAAACGTACTTCCCACAAGACATTAAGACACAAAATGGATACACAAAAAAAAAAGAAAGTTTCGAAAAAGAGTTGCTCATAAAAAATGAATGTTCAAATTAAAAGATTAACACAATGATAAACATAAATAAACAATTACAAAAGTTATTTAAACCACTATATTAAACAGTTACCTAATTCAGTAAACTGACTTGTATATTTAGCACCAAAAAAAAAACCTAGTTGGAGAAAACTGTTAATGGAAATAATGTCAACAGAGGGAGCCACCTGACCTCTAATCGAGAGACGAATGGACACAGCTGCATGTCCTACTTCATTTTCCGCGATACATTCATAAGAACCTTGATCTTCCTGGACTATATTGAACATATAGAGGTCGCCCCGAGAACTCAGTCGATAATGGTCGCTGTCGATGTTCAGGGGAATTCTGTTTTTACGCCAAGTAATGCGAGGTTCTGGGTCCCCTCGTGCCTGACAGGGTAGTTCAATGTTAGATCCTAATGTGGCTTCAGTATCTTGCGGTGTTCTTGAAAAAACAGGTGGCGCTGTGCGACAAAATACAATATTTGTAAAACCTTCTTCAACTGCAGGAAAATTATTACTTAGGAGTACATCGTTAATAAACAACTGTAGCTGGTAAAGAATGTCACTTGGTTACATCTTTCACTAGTCTGTAACTAGGCTTTGAGAAACCACAATGCTACTGGGATTGGGATCATCCTGGAGAAAAACACAATCTATCATTAGAGATGCTTAGAGTGGACACCAATCTGAAACTAGAATTTGGGACACCATGATGCTACTGAGATTGGGACCATCCTAGAGAAAAACACAACCTATCATTAGAGATTATGGTATGCTTGATAATCCTTACCTGCTATACGATTATGTTCTCTCATCCACAATGTATGCATCGATAAGAGTCCGAGCTGCTCATTGGCCCTAATATCACCAGCTAAGAAACAGCCAATGTTACTAGCAGTTGGGTCACGCTGGCAGTCTATTGGTTGTCCATCGTTAAATGGCAATAGTGGTTTTCCAGACTGCATCAAGGGACCATGTCGGAGTAGGCCAAGATTGTTTGTAAGATTCCTTAAGTGTTGAGAAAGCCTTTCTGAGCTCCCGTATACATTTGAAGCATCGATGAAAGATGTCAGCTGATTGGCCTGTTCTCGAGGCATAACTTCATTAAGAAACACAGAAGTGACACCTGAGCCACAGATGGCGCTGGATCGGACAAACTCCATACAACTGTGTCCTCTGATCCGTCTGTCACCTGGTGGAATTTCTATAGGAAAGCATGGCGGTGAGTAATCGCACGTCCGGCTACAGTCGGTACCATCCACGAAGCTCTCGTGACTAATAGCAGGCAAGGAGAAATCGATGTCGTGGTCAAGAAACTGACCCCATTGCATCAGCATATGAGAAGCTTCAGTATCAGGTGATACGACGTCAGTAGAAATAATCTGAGTGGATACCAGTCTAGAGCTAGGCTTTGGGAAACCATGGTGCTGTTGGGACTGGGTCCATCCTGGAAAAATAAGGAGCCTATCAGTGGAGATGATCAGTGTGTACAGCAGGCAAGAGCTAGATTTTGGGACACTATGGTATTACTGGGACCAGGTCCATCCTGAAAAAAAAAAACATTAGTAGAGGTGATCAGTGTGGACCATAGCCAAGAGCTAGACTTTAGGACACCATGGTGCTACTGGGGCCGGTTTCATCCTGGAAACAAAAAAAAAAGAAACCCTCAGGAAATACGACCAGTGTGGACATCAAATTGGAACTAGACTTTGGGACACTATGATGCTGCTGAGATTGGGACCATCCTAGAGAAAAACACAATCTATCATTAGAGATGCTTAGAGTGGAATCCAAAATAGCTTGATCATTTAAAGAAAAAGACATGAAGAAATTTGGACTCAATAGATGGTAGATATTGACTACAATGGATAGTAAATGGTAGATATTGACTACAATGGACTGGAAATGGTAGATATTGACTACAATGGACTGGAAATGGTAGATTTTGACTACAGTGGACTGGAAATGGTAGAAATCGACTATAGTGGACTAGAAATGGTAGATATTGATTACAGTGAACTAGAAATTGTAGATATTGACTACAGTGGACTAGAAATGGTAGATATTGACTACAGTGGACTAGAAATGGTAGATATTGACTACAGTGGACTGGAAATGGTAGATATTGATTACAATGGACTGGAAATGGTAGATATTGACTAAAATGGACTGGAAATGGTAGATATTGACTACAGTGGACTGGAAATGGTAGATATCGACTACAGTGGACTAGAAATGGTAGATATTGATTACAATGGACTGGAAATGGTAGATATCGACTATAGAGGACTGTAAATGGTAGATATTGACTATAGAGGACTGGAAATGGTAGATATTGACTACAGTGGACTGGAAATGGTAGATATTGATTACAGTGGACTAGAAATGATAGATATTGACTACAGCGGACTGGAAATGGTAGATATTGACTACAATGGACTGGAAATGGTAGATATTGACTACAGTGGACTGGAAATGGTAGATATTGATTACAATGGACTGGAAATGGTAGATATTGACTAAAATGGACTAGAAATGGTAGATATTGACTACAGTGGACTAGAAATGGTAGATTTTGACTACAGTGGACTGGAAATGGTAGATATCGACTACAGTGGACTAGAAATGGTAGATATTGACTACAGTGGACTAGAAATGGTAGATTTTGACTACAGTGGACTGGAAATGGTAGATATCGACTACAGTGGACTGGAAATGGTAGATATTGACTACAGTGGACTAGAAATGGTAGATGTTGATTACAATGGACTAGAAATGGTAGATATCGACTACAGTGGACTAGAAATGGTAGATATTGACTACAGTGGACTAGAAATGGTAGATATT